GGGGGGGTGCAAAGCTGGCTGTCAAAATGGAAAACAAAGTAAAATCTAGTTTTCAATAATAAAGGTCCCGCTTCCTTTGGGAATAAAGTGTAGGATGTCCTGGTTAGTTTTGATTGATCACCCTCTTTTCTGATGGACTTTCACTACCGAGCTGGGAGGCAGCAACTAAGACTGCTCCCCAGACTCGGCATTAACCAGGGGTGCACTGACTTCCTGCCTCCTCTTCCTCCCCTGCTTCCTTCCACTGCGGCTCTCTGCCCTCCCTTTGCCAAGCCCTCCCCCCATCCCCCTGCTCCCAGCAGGAATCCCCCCACCACAATCCCAGACAAGCACACACGGGTCACCACATCAGCCCTGGCTACAGAAAGGGGGTATCTTCCCCTCCAGTTCTGATTCGCTAGGAAAAAAACCCCAAAGCAAGAAATATGTATAATATGGCGTGCCTTATAATCATTTTTTCTAGGGCTTCCCCCTCACACACACAATCAACAATTAAAATTAATAGCACTCTCCTCCCCCACCCCCCAAAAAGTGAAATGCCTCACAGTGGGGAGCTTTGGAATGAGTCCATCTTTTTATGTAATATTTTAGCAGGGTTGAGTTTTTTTACTCTCCCCCAGCACACTTTCCCTTCCTTCCTTCAAAACAGTTGCTCTGTGAACCCTCTCTAGTCCCAAGCAATGAAAATAAGCTCCCAAACCTACAAGAGCGTAAATAACCCGGAAAAGAGGTGGAGAAAGAGAGAAAGCAGGTAAAGAAAATGAAAAGCACTTACCGAGCAAACTTCCAGGGTTAGATTTTAAAATAAAAGAAGATGTTTTATTATTTTTTTAAAGGTGCATGGGAGGGGGGGAGGTATATTCTCAACTCCCCAGAACCGATGCATCCTTAGTCTTCCCTTTACACTGACTCCTCTAAACCCAGCTCTCCACCAGTCTATTATTTTCACCAAAATATATGAAAATGTATGCAAATGAAAATCAGCACTAACTGTTCTCCCCTTGTTATATACTTTGGATTTTTTTTCCAGACAAAACAATCACACTCGGCAAAGGGAGGGGGCGGATGGGGTGGGGCTGGGTGGGGGGAGGCTGGGGAGCTCGGGAGAACTAAGTACGCGGAAAGGGGGGAGGACGAAGGGGACAGACCTCAGAACAGAAGTGTATTTCTGTTATCGAGGAGCACAGCGTTTTGGGGGGCTTCCCATATGCACACACACCCTCCTTGAAAAGAAAGAAAGTGGATCTGTTTGCAGAGGCGCTATCACGTTTCATCAGGCCACCTGAGACTGCCTTTGAAAGCGTGTACTGTGAAATTCATAGCAGTAATTTAGACAAAATCCTCACTGTATATTAATGAAAGGCGGCCCCATGGCTCTGTTCCTATCCTCCCCATTCAGTGTAAACAAAACCACGAGACTCTCTCGGTTTTTGAGCCGGATCCAAGCAAAATCGGCAGGAAAGGAAAACAGGGGGTGCTGGCACCGACTATTCAAACGTCTGCACCTGGAGATCTCAGATTTATTCAATGAAATCTGTGTTCCATCTTTTATATATACATATACACATACATAAATATAAAAAAGGAACGTTAGGGGGACGTAGAGGGGGGAAAATCCGTTGTGTTGGGGTTTGGTTACCGCTGCCTTTCAGATCTGTACCTTAGCAGTAATGGCTTTGCTAAAAACCTACCTACGGCGGTATCTCCCACCCGGCAATCAGGAGCTGGACGAGATCCTACAGAAATCCTACGCGTCTACTGTTAATCTTGAGATCACGCAAGGCGTAGCTTGAGGCTGGGCTGGAGAGCTCTGGCTTTAACTGAGTTCACCTAACTGCGTTCAGCCAGAGGAATTACTCATCGGGAGAGGGCAGCCCCGTTCGCAGCTTAATCGGAGCACACCGGCGGCTCCGCATCTACCTCCAGGGCCGCCGCTCGGCGGCGGGCGCCGCTGGAGCTCAGGACCGCCGGCTGCAGGAGCAGGCTGGGGGCGGTGGGCTCAGGGCCCGCGCACCCGCAGCCAGGGGTGCGGGGCGCACGCCCACGCACGCTCATTAGGAACGATGTATTTATTGAACGTCCGAGTTGGGTTAGTTCATTGGAAATCCCCGAGGAGGGTTCAATTTGCCCTTGTTTTCGTTGCCACTTTCTCTTTTTTCTTGGTTCGCTGAGGTTCCTCTGTGCAGCGTTTCCGCTTGGCCGCGTCCCCCCACCCCCGCTTCTCCCGCCTACCCTGCGCGCGCCCCCTCCCGTCCCCCTTAACTCTTTCAGCCTGGCTGGGGCTGAGAAAGCGTTTGTCGCCGCCAGCCCATCCACTACGCAAACCCATCTGAAACAGAAAAGAAAGAAAAAGCACCACTGTGTCTAAGAATAGCGAGCAAGCAAAACACCACTAATAACCATAGAGGGAGAAAAAATATATATATACACACACACACACTATATATATATATACACACACACACACACATATGCACACACACGCACAATGTAAGCGGTGGAGGGCGCGGCTAGTGGATCCTGGTTCTTTAGGCCGGCTCCTGCTGCAGTGGGAATTCCCGGAGCCATTGGGGTGGAATACACTTACGATGGATCTATGGGGAAAGGTCGAGCTGATAGCTTTTCAAATACACCGCAGGGCTCTGCTGACCGGCACCCTCCAAACACACAAGGACACGCTCGCTACTTGCTTGAATCCCAGAGGAGGGGGGAGGGAAGAAGGGAGGGAGAGCGGAGAGGCAGAGAGGGGGTGGGGGAGAGAGCGAGCCGCGGCAGCTAGCGGTCCGTCTCGCACGCGCGGGCACCGCGCTGGTCCTGGGCTGCAGGTTTCCCAGATGATGGCATCCGAGAACTTAAACAAAGGGGGACGCCGCCGGCGCAAAGCGGCTGCGGAAAGTTACGGCGGCGGATTTCCAAGGAGCGTGGCCACGACCCGAGCCCTTGGCGATGCGAGCTCTCCCTTTCCACCCCCGCCGAGACAGAGACGGGGGCCGGCTGGTGAAGGAAAAAGGAAACTTTGAAACCACTGGGGATACATCAGCCTATAGGTATTAGCGTGAATGGTGCATCCATGCCGCGCGCTTTACAAATCTCTGGGATTGGGGTGGGGAGCGGGGAGGGCGGCAACACAACGCAGTACTAGGTGAAGTGGGTAGGTTGCTATTTTTCATGATTTTTTTCCCCTCTTCATTTTCCTTCTGATTCTAACTCCCCCCCCTTCTCCCATCCCTCCCTCCCTTTTCTCTCCCCTTTCATCCCCCCCTCCCAGACTGGTAACGAAAGCCCTGAGCCGCGGAGAGAACGCCAACCTCTCGGCCGGACACTAAGAGTTAAGATGTGGCGGAGAGGGTGGCGGGGGAGGGGCGGAGAGGAGAAAGTAGAGAGGGGGAGGGAGGCTGGGCGGGGGTGGGGGGGGACGACAGATTTCCAGCTTCTACGACGCTCTGCCTAAATTAAAAAGCAACCAATCGGAACGGCCGGAAGGGGGGCCGCGCGTCCTGAGCCAGTCATTCTGGGCCTGCCAATCACCCAGCGGGTAGCCAATCAGCGGGGGCCCTGGTGCTCGACTTCCTTGTATTTGGGAAAGTGTGGTGGTGGGTGCGCGCTCGCGGCGGAGGGTAAACATTCGACAGTCCCTGCTCTGAGAGGGAGGGACAGAGAGCGAACTGTCAGATCCCAGCGAGAGCGGGCGGGCGAGAGAGGGAGAGAGAGAGAGAGGGAGGGAGAGGGAAAGTGAGAGAGGGAGAGAGAGCGCGAACGAGGGCGCAGAGCGAGCTCCCGCTGCAACTCCGCTCCGGCTCGGCCAGCGCCAGCGCCGTCGGTGCACTCTACGAGCCGTGCAACGTGCCCGCTGGAGTTGGTTGTGTATCAAGGATCCCCTATATGCACACACACACCTCCACCTCCACCAATGCACTCTTCTTCCTCCTCCTCCTCCAGACAACTGCTGGGAAAAAAATAAAACACCAACCCCAACCGTCAGCAACAAGGTAACAGAGCCATTCGACCTCATTTTTCTCCTGTTCAATTTTTTCCTTGTTATATTTGTTTCCTAATTTCTGCCCAAAAGGAAAGATGTCGCATCAGACTGTGACTGTTGCGAGGAGAATGAAAAAGGACTCTTGTTTCAGAGGCAACCAAGAGCTCCGGCAATAGCAACTTCAGAGAAATGCACCATCGCAAGAAGTTTTCCTAGGACAGAACAAAACTTGAAACGAAAGGACCAGAGGAGGAGAGCAGGAGCCCGCCTCTCCTCTCCGCACACGCGAGCAGCCAGCATCACCACGCCTTCAAGGACGAAAAAAGTTTTACTACTCTAAAGGAAAACCAGTGAAATGTGTTCCTGAGGAGGAGAGAAGAGAGCGGGCAAGGGAAGGAGCGGTCCGGTTGCCGGTCATCCATAATTTGGTTAAGGAAGAAAGGAACGGCTGCTTTCTTTGTTGTCTGCCGTGAAATCTTCACTTAGCAGGTGGACTGAGCCCCGCGCCGGGGCAGAGTCCGCACTCGCCCGAGGACCGCAGGAGGAGCGGGAGCCGGCGCGCCCCGCCAAAGAGCCCGGAGCGCAGGCCCGCGCCCCGCCGGGTGAGCCCCGCTGGAGCTAGCGGAACGCGCCGGGGCTGGGGGGCGGCTACGACCCCCCCTGAAGGGGGCGGCCACGGAGCGCGCCCCGAGAAGCGAGCCCCCCTCCCCAGAGCGCTGCTCCTGCTGCTGCTGCTGCTGCTGCTGACCAAGGCCGGCCGGCGACCCCCGCGCCCTGCCGAGCGGCCTTGCAGCTGCAGCCGGGGGCCGCGGCGGCGGCGGCGGCGGCGGGGGCGGAGGCGGCGGAGGAGGAGGCGGCGGCGAAGGCGGCGGGGCCGGCCGGGGCCCGGGGCGGGGGCGGGGGAGGAGGGGGGAGAGGAGGCGGGAGGCGGGGGGGCGCGGCGGCGGCGGCGGCGGCGGCCGCGGCTGCTGCTGCGGCGGCGGCGGTGGTGGCGGCGGTGGGGTGGCGGGAGCGGAGCGGCATGGCCACAGCGGCTTCTAACCCCTACCTGCCGGGGAACAGCCTGCTGGCGGCCGGCTCCATTGTACACTCGGACGCGGCGGGAGCCGGCGGCGGTGGGGGCGGCGGCGGCGGGGGTGGCGGCGGCGGCGCGGGAGGCGGCGGGGGCGGCATGCAGCCCGGCAGCGCCGCCGTGACCTCGGGCGCCTACCGAGGGGACCCGTCCTCCGTCAAGATGGTCCAGAGCGACTTCATGCAGGGGGCCATGGCCGCCAGCAACGGCGGCCATATGCTAAGCCACGCGCACCAGTGGGTCACAGCCCTGCCCCACGCCGCCGCCGCCGCCGCCGCCGCCGCCGCCGCCGCCGTGGAGGCGAGCTCGCCGTGGTCTGGCAGCGCCGTGGGCATGGCCGGCAGCCCCCAGCAGCCGCCGCAGCCGCCGCCGCCGCCGCCGCCGCAGGGACCCGACGTGAAGGGCGGCTCCGGACGCGACGACCTGCACGCGGGCACCGCGCTGCACCACCGCGGGCCGCCACACCTCGGGCCCCCGCCGCCGCCCCCGCACCAGGGCCACCCGGGGGGCTGGGGGGCCGCCGCCGCCGCAGCCGCAGCCGCCGCCGCCGCCGCCGCCGCCGCACACCTCCCGTCCATGGCCGGAGGCCAGCAGCCGCCGCCTCAGAGTCTGCTCTACTCGCAGCCCGGGGGCTTCACGGTGAACGGCATGCTGAGCGCGCCCCCGGGTCCGGGCGGCGGCGGCGGCGGCGCGGGCGGCGGCGCCCAGAGCCTGGTGCACCCGGGGCTGGTGCGCGGGGACACGCCCGAGCTGGCCGAGCACCACCACCACCACCACCACCACGCGCACCCGCACCCGCCTCACCCGCACCACGCGCAGGGGCCTCCGCACCACGGCGGCGGCGGCGCGGGGCCCGGACTCAACAGCCACGACCCGCACTCGGACGAGGACACGCCGACGTCGGACGACCTGGAGCAGTTCGCCAAGCAGTTCAAGCAGAGGCGCATCAAACTCGGCTTCACGCAGGCCGACGTGGGGCTGGCGCTGGGCACGCTGTATGGCAACGTGTTCTCGCAGACCACCATCTGCCGCTTCGAGGCCCTGCAGCTGAGCTTCAAGAACATGTGCAAGCTCAAGCCGCTGCTGAACAAGTGGCTGGAGGAGGCGGACTCGAGCACCGGCAGCCCCACGAGCATCGACAAGATCGCGGCGCAGGGCCGCAAGCGCAAGAAGCGGACCTCCATCGAGGTGAGCGTCAAGGGCGCGCTCGAGAGCCACTTCCTCAAGTGCCCCAAGCCCTCCGCGCAGGAGATCACCAACCTGGCCGACAGCCTGCAGCTCGAGAAGGAGGTTGTGCGGGTCTGGTTCTGCAACCGGCGCCAAAAGGAGAAGCGCATGACGCCGCCCGGGATCCAACAGCAGACGCCCGACGACGTCTACTCGCAGGTGGGCACAGTGAGCGCCGACACGCCGCCGCCGCACCACGGACTGCAGACGAGCGTGCAGTGAAGGCAAGGGGCGCAGCGCAAAGAGGGCCGCCGCCGCCGCCTCCGCAGCCGCTGTCAGCACCGCCACCAACCCCCGCCGCCGCCGCCGCCGCAGCCGCCGCAGCGCCAAGCCCGCACTGGGGCCGCGCCGGGCCCGGGCCGGTCCGCCGCCCTCCCCTCCGCCCAAAGACAAACATGCCCGGCCTTGGAGGAAAAAGAGAGAGACGAACCAAGGAGACATTTCTCAAGTCCAAGGAAGGAGGGGCAAAACAAAACAAAAGCGTAATAAATACCCAGACTGTTTTATATACATATATATAACAAACAAAACCGGAAGAGAAAAAGGAGGCGATCATGAGATCTCGTTTATACTGTGGTGGTGTTTCCTTTTTGTTTTTGTTTTTCTTTTTAAAGAAGGGTGAAGATGCCTAGCGCACCAAAACTGCACTCGTGAGGTTTTTTCCCACCCTAGGAAGTTCTACACGGCAACGGTGGACAGCACCTAGCACCTGCCTCGTCCTCGCCTCTTTAAAAAAAAAGGCAAAAAAAAAAAAGCACCCCTCTCTCCTTTTCACTCACTCCCCCCTCCAAAGGGCTGCCTAAAGTGATCTACCGAAACTTTCTTTCCTGGGAGCGACCTGAAAGAAAGCAGAGGCACCGGGTTTAATCAGGGGTTGACTCTGTGCTCGGGGCCCTGTTTTTCTTGGCCATGTTAAAGTCATTTGGGGACAAATTGACTATGAAATGGGAAGGAGAAAACAAAGAACAGTCTTCAGGAAGAAAAAAAAAAAGGAAATATTCACAGCTTCTGAAATTAACAGACTGAATAGCAAAGCCAAAAGAAAAAGTATCCTCAAAGTAACCTTGGAAATAAAGCATCACGAAAGAGCAGAGGGATGGGCAAGGGAGAAGGGGATGTCCTCCGAGGAGTGGGAGAGGCCCGGCCGAGTCCTGGGCAGGGCGGGCGGACTGGGCGCGGAGCGAGGCCCCGCCACCAACCCCGGCTTTAATGGCGGTCACTTGGGTGGATGAGGCCTAAAGATTCCACCGCTAATATTTTTTTTATTAATATTTTTTATTTTTTATTTCTGGACTGACTCAGATAAAGAGATTTAGAAGGACTGAGCACCAGCTGATGCACTTCTCTGGACTTCTCTCCTCAATCCGTTGCCAACTTTGATTGAATGGGTGCTGTGGATGTGATTATATAATACTGCCATTTCCAAGCAGTGTTTTTGGTAGGTTTTAATAAACAGACTTTTCAAAAGACGGCAATATAGAATTGTTAGATCCGTTGTTGATCTAAAAATATTTGCTTTATATTTTCATTAAATGACTTCTTTTAATATTTTATTCAGAATACTTATGAACTGCTGCAAAACGGTAATTTATTTTTCCCCAGATCTTGTATTACGTGTTTTTTTCAGACGAGCACAAATCAAAATGAAATGAAAATATGGACAGTTGCTAGGTAGTAAGGGTATCTTTTGATGTGATCATTTGATTGTAATTTAATTTGAGTAGTGATTCCGTAAGAGCTGATCGAGAAAATAAATTTGTTAGAATGAAATAGTCTGTGTCTGATGCATAAACGCTATGTGGGAAGAAAAGATTTCTTTAGAAAATATTTTTTTACTAATGCAAATCCTTAAGTGATAGCACTTAGCACCACCTAAGGTATATTTGGAAAGAGACAGTAAAGGACAGACATGACAGAAACCGCTAGTACTTTAACATAGTTGTCACTCCTTGTTAATCCATAAATCTCACAACATTTTTCTCTCCCTTGGTTTCAGTGGGTGTTTTTAGGTGAGATTGTCTAAAGACTAGTCCTTTTCTTGGAGATGTCCTTTATCATCTTTCCCAGAAGATTGGACTACAGCACCAGTAAAAATGTGCCAACTGGTTATTAATGGTTAATACAGAGCTCTCCCCCCACCCAAGTTTAGCCTCTCTTTTCCCTCCCGTCCCCCCAACCGTACTGCTAAGTTTCTTTCCTCTTTTTCTGAAGACTAATAGTTGTAAAGAAAAGCTTACAAGTCTATAAAATATTTTTATATTAATTACGTCCCATTAATAACTATATGCAATTCAGTTTAAATTATTAAGCTGTTTTGGTTTTTTTGTTTTGTTTTGTTTGTTTTTCTTGTACTGGAAGAATGTAGTTCTAAAATCCTGACTATGGGCCACACTGCATTACCCTCAGTGTGATTACCAGCTCAGACTTAAGACTCCACATTTCTATGTTCCGGTCTTTCCCCAGTATGATTCTGTATCTTCTTTACTGGTGCTGGGGCTTTGAGCTTTTTTTGATCACTCTTTAGCTACACCCTGCAGAGCGGTCACATTTATCAAGTTAATGTATCAATATTTACAATGTGGGAAAATGAAAGTATAATGCCTCAGGTTGTGAGTACTATAGACAGACTCAAAAGGCTCTGCTCAGTTGAGTCCCTTCGTATTGTACTTAAAAAAAGTATTTGGGAGTGATAAAGCAATGATTTTATGGATTAATTTCCTCTTAATCTCATTTGGCTGTCACTCACTTTCTGCCTTCTCTCATCTTCCTCTCTCTTCCTCTGATATCGATGCAGGGGTTAAAAAAACCCGGAAAACTGTGAGAGCAACAAGAAACAGTCATTTCTTCCAGACAGACCCTGTGTCACTTTCATAAATCAAGCCCAGCCAGATGGCCATGTATTGGGTTGCATTATTTTAAACACCAAATCGTACTAAAAATCACAATCATTTTGATTTGTGAAATCTGAAAAAGGCCATATTTATTAAACAGAAGGAAAAAAATGAAAACAAGAAACCACAATTTACTTTTCTTTGCGTTCTTGTTTCCTTTTTCTCTTGCTATTATAATCTCTCTGCCCAGCAAATTTACAACCTGGAGTGGGGGTCGGGAGTGGGAACAAACTTCATCATTTTTTTGAGGGGCTACGGGGGCAAGCAAAGAAGGCCTTATGAGAAAGCTGAGGATTGGGTGTGGTGGTTTTTATATGGTGGATACTGCTGGCATGTGAGATGAAATCCTATTTTCCCTACAGGAATGGTAGTGGTTGATTAGAGAGAGAATGGGTCTATTTAAAATTTTAGGAGGTATTTGCTTACTTGATTTGGCTGACAACAAAAGAACTAACATTAGATTTCACACTGTTTTCTATTAAAAAGCAACCTTTGCTGATTACTTTGGAAGGAGCCCAGATTTAAGGGTAGCAGAGTAACTTTTCACCGGAGAAGATGAGAAAGAAAGCCCATTTTATTTCATCATTTTGCGTTTTTAAAAGTGAGCTCATGCTTGCACTCCATATTTTTTTTTTTAAATCAACCCTTTGAATGTATTCACAAAATGAAATTCATGGTTGAAAAACAAAAGAGGGCAGCTATAACTGAGAGGTTTTGTGCTAAGGCTTATATTGTTACACATGTAAATAATGAAAATATTGTTATATATCACCAGATCTTTTTAATGAATTTGGTCATTGTGTTCCTTTGCAGCGCAAGTGTCTTGTGCTTCGTAAAGTGCCCATTTGTTTCCTCCATTTCAATCCACCCCCTCCTCCCCTTCCAACCCAAAGGAAAGTGACAAAGTTCTGTTGCATCAATCTGGCTAATCCGGAGCTAGGCCCATTTATAGTTTGCAGTGTGTCCTGTGGCTCCTGATCAGTTGTCCAAGCCCCTGTCACCTCATTCACCCAACCATCTTCCCCTGCAAGTCTGGGCGATAAATCATTCAAGGTGTATTTAAAAATAGTCACTTTACTGTTGTTGCTCTGCCTTTTTTTTTTTTTTTAAGTACTTAGCCAAGGACTACTTCTTTGTTCCAAAATAGAACTGTTCATTATTGATCTTAGAGATTCCCTCTGCTTCCCTGTAGCCTCCAGTGTTTGCTTATTACCATGCTCATAATCTGTTTTGTATGAATGGTTTTCAACATTCAGAGAATAATTGGTTCTAATATTAAATGCAGTATATACAATTGATAGTTTTATCGATAAGTGTAATATTTTAAATAATTTTAACAATTAAATTTGTTTTTTAAATTATATATTTGTAAAGTATTTATCCTGTTGGAAGCAACAATATATTGTTGTATTTATTCGTTTATTTTTGTAATAAATGATCAACCTCTTCAAGCTAAATCAAAAATGACACTTTTATATATTTATACAAAATGCATTTTAAGATATGGGCATATTTGCACCAATTTGTATGTAAATAGAGTAAGAGCCATCAATAACTTGTAGCTTTCAGAACTAAATTGAAGGAAGAAACATTCTCTCCACATGGAGTTTAGTTTGCCCAAGTTCCAGGGTAATTAATCAAACTCTAAAATGGATGCAACAAGTATTGGCACTGGATGCAGACTTGAAATTAATTATTTAGGAGGTGGACCTGGTTTTTTTCAAGGCAGAAGGATAGAAATGAAAGAATTCTCTTCTTTCATGAATTGCACGTGACTGACTGGACTGCTTAGGACAGATGATGTGTATCAGTGATAAAACCTAATACCTGGCTGTGCTCAGACGTCTATGCTGGGGGAAAGGTGTTGAGAGTTAAGACTTCGAGGCTATCAGTCACTCGGAAGCAAGGTGATTAGAAAAAAAGAGTTGTACTGTGTTTGTTTTTCAAAAGTAGTTCTTGAAATGGCTGTGAGTGAAGAACCTCTCTCTGCTAGTCCCGTTACTGACAGCATGAGCAATCAGTACAGGTTGCTGTTGCTGATGTTGGTGAGAGTGAGGCGCGTCAGAAGTGGGGGGACCCCCTCTCCAGCTCTCCGGGTTCTGTAGTTCACTTGGTCATCTCAGTTCCTCAGGGCGGCTGTTCCGAGGGCCCGAAGGTCACCCACGTGACCTCCCGACTGCTGGAGCCCCACCGTGGGCTTGATCTTGATTTCAATAAGGAAATCAGGGGGCTCTGGGTTTGCCTGAACTTTCCAGTCCAGGAAAGGAAATAGTGCGGAGGCTGGAAGACCTGGGTGGGGGTGGGGGAGCGGAGATAGCAAGAGGGGTACTTGTGTAATCAGATTCTTTGATTTTGTTAGCCTGGCTCATGGCCTATTAATTAGATTACGCTCTCTTTCATTCTTGATTTCACATCCGTGTTTGTTCCTGTATCCTAAAATGTGGGCGCGAGCGTGGCGAGCAGGAGCCTATGATGTCACTGCCGGCCAGCGGCGGCCGCCTGGCCTTCTGGAGGGCTGTGGGCTGCGTTCTTTATGAGTCTTATGTGTCGGATCTTCCTCAAGGAAGAGTTGGCTCTGGAAGTGACCTCAGAGGGGTCTGGGAAGAGGGCAACTGGCATTCTCGCGGCCGCACGGTGTGTGCGCACTAGTGTGTGTGTGTGTGTGCGCGCGCGCGCGCGCCCTCGCGCCGCGTGCTTGTGGGTGCTGGGGAGGGGAGGGGGGCTGCGGAAATTCGCGTCCTGGACTCTCAAGCCCTAGGGATGCAGATGGCTTGCTCAGGTGCAGGGCCTGCCTCAAGTGGAAATGGGGACCCGAGGAGCGGAGGAGGGCAGCGCCGGGGCAGCGGGCGGCAGAAGCCCAGCTTCTCTCTGGGACGCAGGGCCGGCCGGGCGCCGAGGTGGGGCGGTGGCGGTCACGGTGGGGTGGCCCGATCCCCGCTCGGCCCGGCCCGGCCGGCGGTCCGGCCGTAACAGCTGCTGCCAGTCCCACAAGTTGTTTTCCTCGTGGCGACCATTCAGCAAAACGCACGATCCTTTCTCAAAGATTTAAATTTCGCGGATGAATTACCATACACCGGTTGCTTAGCAACTAAATTCAAGCAGGGCTAAGAATATGCAAGCTTTTTGTATTCTCATTAATAAAATGCCACTCTGACACAGCAACCCGACTTTGGATCACTGCAACTTCTGTAAAAGCCGTAGGAGAATACAAACCGATCCTGCCATTTAATTACAGATCAAAATGGCTTGAAACGCGATGTTTTGTTCATCTATCTTCCTAAAAGCGATGTAAAAAATAACGGCTTTTCAAGAGCAGTAGTAAATTTTTTTCTTTAATGGAGTTGTCTATCGGGGTTACTGATAATTGTCAACTGAAACTTTTTTGAAACACAGGTTGAAATATCTCTTTTCATCAACATCTCTACTCTCTCCCTCAGTCCCCTGTCCTCTGATTCTGCGCTCGTTCCCCAGCCTGATAATAACAATTATTGTCATAATTCTGGAAATACTCAGGCCTTGGGAGCCCTAGAGACTAAAGGGCACTTGGTGGAGCAATCGACAAGGCCGGTGGCTGGAGAAAACCTAAGAAACTGAGGAGAGAGAGAAATGAAAACTTGCGAAAGTTTCCTTGGATGGTCGGTCGGCTCAGGTTCCAGAGGTCCTGGCGAACACTTTTTGGAACGCATAGGGGAACTCAAGGTAGAAATGCCCGTCGACCTCTGTTCCACATTTGCGGATTTTCCGTGCTGGGGTCCAGCCTCCTCTCCCCGGAATTCGGTTACCGCCTCCCCCTCCGCGGACCGCAGAGTTCAGAGGGGCTGAGTTCAGGGCCTGCTGACCCCGGCTCTCCCGGAGATCCACCTCCCTGCTGCCCCAAGCCCCGGAACCCTGGAGGAAAAGTACAGACGGAGCTGGACCCCCTGGGTCTTCAAAGACTCTGGCCCAGCCCAGAGCCTGGGATTTACAGAAGGGGGGGCACTGTGTGTCTCTTCCCGAAGGGTGCCGTGCCTGGAGGGGGACGCGCTGGCTCAGACTGAGGTTCTAACCCTTGGCTACATACAGTCCGAACGTGTGGGGAGGGGGGCGGCGGGGGGGAATAGGGGTCAGAGAGGACTGGCCTGGTGCGCGGGTAGGTCGCATTGTTTGGGACTGCGCCGAGATCTAGGAAGCCGGAGCTGTGGAGCGGGGGCAGGGCAGGAGGAGGCTGGCGGCTTTGTGGAAGTTTCGGGCCTCCAGGCCCTGCGCGCCGCTCCCGGCAGTGGAGTGCCTGGTGAACCCTGGGCACTTGGCCGCGTGTGGGGAACCTCGAGCGCCGGGAGAACGCTGGAGGAGGCTGCGTGTGCCCGGCCCCGGCCCGGTCACCTCCCGCGCCCCGGCCCCGGCTCCGGCCGGGGACTGCGGGCCCCGGGCCTGCGCGGCGATACCGAGCTGGCGGCGGGCGAGCGCGGGCCGCAGGGGAAGGCAGGGGTGCCAGGCGGCAGGTCGGTGCCCAGTCCGCCGGCAGGGACGAGCGCGCGCCGGCTTTGCTTTTGAAGCGGTAAAAGGAGGCGGTGGTCCGCTTTAGAAAGATCCAGGGGCAAAAGTGAAACTCTCCAGATTGGTTCCAGTAACATTCCCCGGGAGCCAAACCCCCTTGCGCTTTGGCAAACCTGAGAACTTCAGAGGTGTAAAGTTCCCCGGTCAGTGTAAAGATACCCCCCACCCCCCACACACACACCCCCTCCGCCACTGACTCAGTTTTACCCGATTTCTTTCTAGTGAATAGGGAAAAAAAAAAAGTGGAAATCAAACCAGAAGTTGAAATATTTGCTGTGTTAAGTGCTCAGAGGCATTAGAGTTCGTTTTTTCAGTAAAACGTACATAATAAACAGGAAGCCATTTATTTACAAATACAATTGCCCCAGACAAGCCACATTCCATGTACGTAATTCATTAATGGAATTCGTTCCTTTTCCTCCCTTTGGAAAAGAGAAATTTTAGCTTTTAAAAATAGCTGGGTCTTGGGGGAGGGGAAAGAGCATGGTTAGTTACCTGTTCCTAGAAAAAGCAGCAGGGAAGTCTAGCCAATTCTTGTTTGGGGGGGTGTTAAACGGTATAAAATAACCATTTAAAAGGTATGGAGTGCTTTTTTTTTTTCTTCTTCACTCTTCAGAAAATAAGTTTGTTGGTCCGTGGTTGCTGTCGCCA